CTTCCATGATCTCTCCTTCCTTCAATTTTTTCAGTTATGACCAAACTTTCAATTTCCTCTTTCCTCATAACATGCCTGAGAAAGTCTGTCTCTTTCTGATGTTAATCAGCAGCTTCCTCCTGCAGCCTGCTCTTGAAAAAATTTCTTCATTTGAGGTCTGACTTGTCCAACATACCTTCAAAATACACCTTAAGAACCACATCTCAATTGCTTCAATTCTCCTTTCCATACTTGGCAATATTGTCTAACATTCCGATTCATACATGAGGACTAGTATAACATATTTTGCCATCCCTCTTCTCTGTTTTATTTCTTGATCACTTTTACCATCTGATGTTATCCAACTTCCCAAGTAGTTAAATTTATTGACTTCCCTTATCTCTTCCTTATCTACTTTGATGTTGCATACAGAAATGATCTTCTTCCTTGTAATTACCATGCATTCTGTTTTTCTACAGTTGATGCTTAGACCTTCCTTCTCACTTTCACTAACAATTTTATCTACAATTTCTTACAGCTTTTCTTCTGAATCAGCTATTAAGACTGTATCATCAGTATAACGCAAGTTGTTCAAATTCTATCTGCCAATGATCAGTCCTGGTAAATCCTCAATCTCCCTCAGTATTTTCTTACTGTACAAGTTGAACAAGTCATGTGAAAAGCCACAGCCTTCTCTCACACCTCTTTTAATTTGGCTGAAATCACTTAGTTCATTTTCTATCTTCACTGTTGCAGTTTGGTCCAAATAGAGGTTTCTTAAAATTCTCTAGTCTTTACCATCAATATCCATTTCTTCCAACATTTTCATTAACTCCTCTGTGAAACTAAAGACTTGTTTGAGAGCCCCCCTGGAGTCAAGAGAGGGCTTAAAGTTTCTTCACTGTACTGTATCACAATGTTAATGTTCTGTATTTGTTATCTTACTATCTGTCCCTGAAGGGTTAGTGTCTGTTATGTATATTTTAAGTGTATGTACCTTAATGTTTGCTCATCTGTATTTTTCCCATTCTCTTTAGCCTGTTGGCCTATGACCCTATCCCCGCCCAGTATCCTCCATATCAATTTGAGAATCCTCCCTTTGGCTCCTGCATAGTTTCTGGGGTTCTGTACGATATTTAATATGACCAACACACATAAACAGTCCTACCAAACTAGAGTTTACTTTTTCACATACTGCAGTAGAAGTTTATACAGGACTGTGGATATGCATATGTCATGAGTAGTATTCTGAGTTTTCAGCCCCCCAGGAAGAGCCCAGCACAGCCCACCAGCCTGCAGCCCTCCAGGGGTACACATAGCAGCAAGAGCCACATCCCTCTGCCCTGCACCCTGCACCCACTGACTTACAGTTCCCTCCGCAGCTGGCGTCGGCTGTTCCTGGGGCTGCTGCAACAGGGGCTGGGGTGAGTGGGAACAAGTGGAGCCCTGGGGGGTGCAAGCCATGGCACAGCTTGTCCCCACTCACCCCAGCCCCGGTGCAGTGGCCCCAGGAGTGGCCAACGCCAGCTGCCTGCAGCTGCTGGGCTACGCTGTGCCCTAAACCCCCCAAGGCTCTGCTCGTCCCTACTCACCCCAGCCCCTGGGCTGTGCCATGCTGTGGTTCAGGTAGCTGGCAACAGTTGCTCCCAGGACTGCTGCAACAGGGGCTGGGGTGAGTGGGAACAAGTGGAGCCCCAGGGGGCAGGGCACAACTTGTCCCTGCTCACCCCAGCTGCAGCTGGAGCCACAAGGCTACAGCTGGGACCTGCCCACCCCAAGAGCAATTCCCCCAGCCCTCCCACCCCACCCCACCCGGGGTCAGAGTCAGGAGCCCTGCACTCCCAGGAAGCGGCTCCAGCTACCCTCCCCGGCCCCCGCATGGCCACCGACCCTGTCTCAGCATGCAGCTGCTGCCACCCCTCCCTCCCCCACATCTGGCCAGAAACCTGTGCCTCAGGTAACTGGCACTTTTAGCTTATCGTCACCTCTCAGCCATTCCCCACTTGTGCTGGTTAACAGGGATTTCACTGTACCTGGTAAAATTGAGTGAACTGAAAAAGGGGTGTAAATCAGTAAAAACTGAATAAGTTCAATTAAAAAAATCAGGGAATGCATCGGTGAAAATTGGTAAAAACTGAAAACACAAAACACTAGTCATGAGATACATACACTCATTGCCCTTCCATCCACTAAAAGAGAAACAAGGATATTAACTGCTCCCTCTCCTAGGACTAACTGTGGGCCCTGCAACAGCTGGAGAGATAAAAAGACTGCAGGTCAGAGAAAAGATTGAAAGGGGCTGCCTTTAGCAACAGAGTTCTGAGGAAAAGTCCAGGTATCTGGGAAAGTGAATGAGGAAAATTGCTCACAGTGAGGTGGAGTTGAAACAGTTTAGGAAAACCTGACACCAGGTGCTGCATATCTGAATCCCTGGGCTAGAATCCAGAGATTTGGGTGGGACCAATTTTACTACCAGTCTCAGCAAAGCAGAAAAGTAACTCAGGTTTGCAATATCTGGGGGCTAGAGACCTATAAACTGAGGCTATAAACCCTTGAATAGTGTACAGTGCTCCTGACTGCCAAGCTCCTTTAATACTCTGAGGGGGAGACAGTAATGCAGACGTGGTTAGTCAGCCAAACCAGCAGCTGGGGAATGGCAATCAGTACCTTCAAAGAGGAAACTGAGGCAAGGCCACTTCCACTGCCTATGTAACTGTGGTAGAATCAGTGGAGGAAGGCAGTTTGGGACAGCATACTGATAACTTCTTGCAAAATCAGGCCCTGAACAAGTGCCTAAAATGGCAAAGGGCAGGTTCTGATATAATTGTTCACACTGGGTGCATTTACACAAGACACTTTAGTGTGTAGTAGAGCAAAATACTGTGCAGTAAGCTCCACCATCTACATGTGCAGACCCTTACTGTGCAGTAATTTGCTCTACTCAGCAGCTAATTTGCTACCTGCAAATGCCAAGTAAGTACTGCACAGCAAGGCACGTGTAGACAGCCAACTGGGAGGAAATTTGCTCCTGGCCAGCCAGGCAGTAGGGGGTGAAAAATTGTTCCCTGCCCTTGGAAACTGCCTGCTGCTGGAGCAGGCTTCAGTGGTGGAACCCAGGCCAGGACAATGTCTCCATGCCCCAGCAGCAGGGTGCTTCCCTCCGGTGGATTAGGGTAGGGACCTGGGATCTGCCCCTACCCCATAGCTCTTTCCAAATCCCCTACCCCCAAGCTGGATATTGTCCCTGCCCCGGCTCTGCCACTGGAGCCTGCCCAAGAAGCAAGCAGCTCCCAGGGGAAGGATGCAATCTCCCAGCCCCCACCAGGACACAGCTGTCTCCTAGCCTCATGCTTCTTGCCAGCTCCTGGGCTAGGACTTAGGGGGACCCTAGAGCTCCCACTGGCTGCTGCAGGGGGGCAGAGCAGGGTGGAAGCAGTTCTGTCTGAGCTGCTCCCATTGGGAGCAAATCTGCTCACAAACGCCTGCTCATAATAGATGGCTGCCCAGAGTGGGTTTCCTCTGCAGTAAATTACTATGGAGTAAACTAAACCCATGTGGCAGCATTTCCACTTGTAGACATGCCCTAGGTATGTCTTCATACACAAGATTTGCTTCCAAAGGTGCCTGGAAAAGTCCAGAATGCCAAGAGTAAAGTAGCATCTCCTGGCTCCATGTGCTATTTTGCTGTATCACTCAACAGCAAAAAATGTTTTTCAGTCTTTTAAAAATCCATACTCTTTTCCTATAATTTGTCATATATTCCTAGAATTTATGCAGTCCACAGTCCTCCACAGATTTTTTGAATGCTTTATGGAAAGGTAGATATGTTTTATTACCTGGCTATTGTCAAAGTATGAATCAAATATTTATCTTGGAATCTCAAACCACATGGGGAAAAAATCAAATACGGTGTGACCTTATGGTGTTTAGAAATCACCTTAATAGGAAATCACACTGACATTTCCTAAAGGGAGCTGTGCAGAAAACCAAGACTGAACTCTAATTGTGTATTAAAGTTCCTCTCGTTCAGGCAACCTGAGGTAAAGTAAATGGGAGAGGAGAGATTGGTTGTCAGATGATCCAGATGCAACAACAGCATTAGGTTCCTCATGATATGCAAACCATTCCAACCATGCTGAAATAACACTTCCCCATAGAAAGAAGAAGTTAGAATTGCCTATGCTCTCTAAAATCAAGGTTTGTATGACCCTTGAAAGCTTTAGGGGAAATCATACATCACAGAGGTCTAAGAGAATTGTGAAGGCTTTAGTGTACTGCAGAAGCATTTAAGTCTGTCTGCAACAACAACAACCAGTTTTACTAATACGCCAATAGCCACAGTGTAAGGAATGAGCTCTACTTTTCCAGCATATAATTCATATTTTTCTATCTTAACTCTAAGTTCAGTAGGAAAATGCTTGGGAGAATATATTGCAAAAGGGGAAAATACCCAGAAAATATTATAAGAAAGAATAAAACCACTAAGGTTAATTAGATGGTACCGGCAGTCCATGTAACTTAGAACATTTCGAGTTACAATGTTTCACATTTACAACATTTATAAATTGACACCCTGTTTCAACTTTATGATGTCAGTTTTGACTTTAAAACGCTTGATCTGATGCCACGCCATGCCATGCCAGTGAACAAGTTCAATGTGTTGCCCATCTCCCTGGAAGACATCTGTCCAAGCTTCCTTGGACACTTTCTTTAAGAAAGCAGACAAGTTTCCAGAAAAACCTGCAGCCAAGACTCCTGAGAAGGCTACAACCAAGAACCCTTCAAAAAGTCCAACCAAGAGCCTTTCAAAAAGTCCAGCAAAGTCACCTCAAAGAAGTCCTTCCAAATCAATATGATTACTATTTACAATATAAATACATTAATGTACTTATATATAATCTATATATATAAGATTCATCTATAATTGATTGAGTACAATTTGGACTCGATGATCTATTGAGGCTCCTTCCAACCCTAACAACTATGAAACTATGAAACTACAAAATTCTGGGCTATTTTTGGTGAAAATAGGGTATTGGGCCTTAGTTCAGGAACCAATCCCCCATTTACAACATTGTTTCCTATGGGAGAATAGGTTCTGAGTTACAACTTCGCTATTTACAATGCGGTTTTCAGGAACTAATTGTGTCATAAGTCCAAGGACGGTCTGTATTCATATATTTCCCCAACACCACTTTTTACTCTCTAATGAACAGTTAGATGGTGATGTTCAAATATATGGAAATGTATGTTCAAAAGTGTTCACATATGGATATTCCTTAGCTAATAAAAAGACTTCTGTACTAGATACTAGAAAAGTTATCATCAGGCACAAGAAAAAAACAAATGTCTTGGGTAACCCCCCCCCCACAACCTCTAAATACACATAGATATCTTAAAAACAAATAGCAAAAAGGGCCCACGTAGGATGATCTGTTTTGTCCTCCTGTTTAATATTCATCTGCATAACACATGACATTAAATTAGCTGTTGAAATTCTAACAACAACCTCATAACTTCTTGCTGAGGTACAGCTTATCTTCTAAAAAGATATTTAGACTAGAAAATCTACCTTGGTCCTAGTAGATTCTGATGGGGAAAACAACTTCCTGTACCAGAAAATCTTTCTAGATATCAAATTTTCCTTCTCCGTATACAGAGGAAACAAAGAACTGACTACATTTTTTCATAAAAAGACAGACCCACTGTAGTATAACCTGATAATGAAAGTACTCACATGCTTAAACTCTTGGCCTGAATAATGGTCATGGCCCTGATTAGTTCTGTGCTTTTGAGATTCAGTCCAGGACCTGAGAAATCTTTCTTACCAAAACTTTCCAATTAAATGTTTCTGTGTTGATGAAATTGCACTTTTCAGTGAAAAACTTTCTGATGGTAAACCATTTCTGCTTAAAATTGTCCCCTTACTTCTAGTCTCCAAGTAAAATGCCTCACTTGCTTGCCCACACTTTTTTTATTATACACCCCTTATTTCTTGTCCAAATGTGCCTCTAGTCTTTGTATTTCATTGTGCTCCTGTCTGCTAAATTAAAGATCCTTCCATTATCAAAGTTTTCTCCCATAAAACCCTCAACCATTGTTTTGATAGGCTAATGGAACTGTGTTTTTACAAGTTTCTCACTGTTATTCAGGCTTTGCAAACCCTGGCTCATACTGGCAGATCTTTTCTAAACCTTGTTTTCAATTTTTTGACATTCTTTAGGCACCAGATCTGGGTATGAGTTTGATAATGATCTCACTAATGTTGTACACAGAGCTAATGCCACTTCCCTGCCCTCACCTGATAAAACATCAGAGGACTGCATTAGCTCTATGATCTCTATCATTATACTGGGACTCTTATTATTTTTAATAAGTTCCCTGCTTTCTATTGATTAGTCTCATGTACTATAAGCATGACCTGCATTCTTGGTTACAAAATGTATGACTGTGACTTTGTATTAAAATACATCTCATTCAAATGAGCCCAACTCCCCAAGCCACCTCTATCAATCTAACTGACACATCTGTATCAATATTTATCATCCCACTGATTTTTCTGTCATCTGCAATCTTTACCAGCAATGGCCTTATATTTTCTTCCAACTAATTGCTAGAAATATTGAATGGTACTGAGCCAAGAACAGGTTCTGCAGGATCCTATTTTAAGCAACAATGGAGTTTTTAGTTTACAATTATTTGAAATCTATCACATAGCCACCCCATTTCTAATCTACTGAAAATGTGCTACATTTATTTGATACTGTATTATTTTTAGTCAAATATTTTACAAAACTATAAGCATATTCCCAGAAAAAGTTACTTTAAAATGGAATTAAGGGTAATGATGCAAAAAATTAATATAATTGCTACATATCTATACCATAATTTATACCAATAAAAGGAAATATAAAGAAATTCACAATTAAGGTAAAAACTTAAACCTGATATTACTTACATTAAATCAAATCAGCTTTGAGGTATAGAAAACATGACATATGAAGAAAGGATGGAAGAACTGGAATTATTTATGTTACAGAAGAAAAGACTAAGAGATGAGTTGATAAGTCTTCAAATACAAAAAAAAGGATTGTTTTAGAGAGGCTGGTGATCAATTTTACTTTGTGTCCACAGGGGACAGGACCAGAAGTAATGGCCCTAAATTGTAACAAAGGAGATTTAGGTTCTGTATTAGCAAGAATTTTCTAACTAAAAGTGGCTACGCATGGAACAGATTACATAGAAAAATTATAGGGTAAAACATGAGGCTCTTTTAACATCACATAGTCTGCAATCTGATTACATTAATTTCGCAAAGGAATATCACAAAACCATAACATGTATTTTAATCACTTCTATATAAATATCTCTGCTAAGGAATTAATTAAATGTGCAAACAATTTCAATGTGATTCAGCTTCAGAGTTTAAATTTTAATTTCCACAAGTTGTTCCAGCACACAAGGTCCCCTCAGCACAGGGCCTGGGACAACTGTCCTGTTTGCTCCAGCCTAGAGTCTGCCCTGCTTGCGTGCAATTCCTCGTTTAATATACTACACCAACTATAACCTTGTCCCTGTCCTCTGGAACGTGTCCAGGTTTCCAAAGTCCTCAGCAGTGATTCAAAGGGCTCCTTTGCCAGTTCCTTTAAAATTCTTTGGTACAAGATCTAAGCTCTGCTTGAGTTCTCACTGAGGTCTAAAATATTTTCTCCGGATCATTCCAAGTGCTCAGCTTCATATGCTCAAACAGACCACACTTTCTTTGGGTCTCAGTGTTTCAGACACCAATTATCTGGGGTGCTACTTTCTTTTCATTGTAAGCAGCACACAGCAACCTATTTTCCTTCTAACAGAAGAACTTCAGGTTACACCGGGCCTGTCTCAGAGTGTGTAGCTCCATTTACCACAGGGGTGACTTGCCAATTTGCAATATGTGCTTACTGTATCTTTCTCTGCTTGTGTGGGTTCCTCTGGAACACTGCCCAATGCCCACTCTGCAATGCATATTCCATTTTGATCCCTTTTTATTTCTGTCCTACCACCTTCAAAGATCCTCAGGTATGATTTGAGGACTCAGACACACAGGGTCCAAGTTCCACCCTCCCGTCTTTGGCAGGAAATCTGCCAAAGGGAGCTCCTTGGGAGTACAGATCTCATCCCTCTTTTGAACAGGTGCCTCATTGCCAGTGCAAACTGGCCATAATCCTACAGAGCTCCAGCCAGACGATGCAAGTTGCAAGATGACAGCTCTAACAGTCAGCTTCTCTTCTAATGTCATGTTCAAAGGCATTTGTTTCACAGTTTATGCAGAATGCAATGAGGTTCAGATCTTTTAAACTTCTAGCCTGATAGCCAAAGGGAAATGGCTACAGTTTTCACTGGAAACAATGAACACAGCAGTCAGTGGCTTTCTTCACATCTGCTGCATATTATGAAGCACCATATGGAGTCTATACCAATGAGACAAAGAAGAATTCATCTTTTGGCCCATGTTTAGCTACCATATGTCTGTCTTCCTCCACCTTGATGCCCATTGCCCATTTTGGGATGACACAGAGAGACATATGAGGGTGGTTGCAGATACGGTGGGTCCAGGAAATGAGCCAGACATTCACTAAGTTACAGACTGAGTAGCATTTTAAGTAGAACATTTTAAAACAATCATTGAATTAAGTGAGACAGTGAGTCATTTTTCAATTAATACAGTGCCCAGAAAATTTGCAGATGTACCAGAAAATTAATTAGTTGTCAGGTATATAAAATCTTTCTTCCTCCAGGTTATTCACATCTGCCAGTCTCATTTTGGGTTTGAGCAGCAGTGGTCGTCCTGAAAGTTAACGGGGGGAATAATATTCAGAATAAAAGCTTAGATTTAACGTTTCCTCATACAAAGTGAGGCTTTCTTTGGCCTATGTATAGAAACATGTGCATGGATGGTTGGGGAAATACAGGAATTTTGAACCCAGCTTTTCCTCCTTCCCACCAAGAATGCTTTGGCCACTATAACAACGCGCTATAGTGACATAATGATCATGTGTGTCTACATGTCACTGGCAGCTACTTCACTGTAGTGGTGCACTCGACCCATTTTAGCGTGCCACTACGGTGAAGTAGCAGCTAAGAATAACTATGCGCTGCACATATAGCACACTATGGGCAGTTACTGTGCTGTGCATTAGTACTTCCAAAAGGCAGCACTAAAGCAAGGCACAGTAACAACGTCGCTGTAGGGAGATGTATAGACATGCCCTCATATCTCAAGGGAGGATCCTAACAGCTAGGTAGTAGGGCATTTGCAGAGGGGAGATGTAACAAGTGCTCATCCCAGGGGTGGTCGCAATGATCCCTGGGGGCTGCTCAGGCCTTTGCAATCTGGCTCTTTTTGGGGCTCTCTCCCTTTACTCTCCTGTCACACCTTGACGTTACCAATTAGGGATGAAAGGGAGGCTGCCTCAGGGCTTCCCAAGCCTGGTGTCACTCTTAGCACCACAGGTGCTTGCAGGCATTGCCTTAAGGGCTAATTCTGTGGGCTCCATCCTCCCCAATACCCACTCCTAAGCCTTATAGATGATCTGCTAACATGGAGCTACAGGCCCCCAGCCCCAGTCCTTGCCCCTCCTGGGCTCCAGACCTTTGGGCTTTCTGGTCCTGCTGATACATTGCCCTTCCTATGAGCTCGGGCCCTTTGGCCCCACACTCTGCCCTCTGGCCGGCCCCAGGCACTGGAGCTTCTCTCAATGCACCCTAGTCCCCACCAGGCACCTGACATTTCCCCCAAGTACCTAGTCCTTCCTGGGATCACTCTTTCTCTCTCCAGGCCCCAGGCTTGTCTCTTCCAAGGTCTGCCTTGTTCCTCTCAGGCACTGGGCCTCTGGTCCCCGTTCCCAGGCCTACCTGTTCCAAGTCCTGGCTAGCTCATCTTGAGGGCTAGACCCCTGTTCCCTCTGCTTCCAGGTCTGTCTCTTCCAAGGTCCAGCCAGCTCCAGGGCTGAGTGCTTCTTGCAGCTTAGAGAAGATATCAGGAGCCCTGCTGCCAAGACCTCCTGTCCCAGTGGCACTCAGGGGTAGACTGCCTGACCAGCTCAGGCCCTGGGCTTGTCTAGCTCAAGCCTGGCCCTATCCTGGTCAGCTGAGAGACACTCTAATTAAAGCACCCAGAACATCTTGTATAGCATCCCCATGCTTAAAAATGGCAGCAGAGTTGCTTTAACTAAAGCTCGTTCAACAAGCTTTAGTTAAAGCACCCCACCACCATTTTGAAGCATGGAGATGCTGCTATACGAGTCACTGGAGTCTGCTGGAGGGCGGTAAATATGACAATTCAGCAGGCTCATGCACAGGTGCCCAAAGTGACAGGCTTAATGACATTCACCTCCTGTGAATGTCACCAAATCACATTAAGAGTCTAACCCTTATTAAATGTCTGGCCTTGAGTCTCTCACACAACAAAAACTAAGGAAAACTTTGTAACCCTGTAAAATGATTTGGAAAGGCTGAAGTATTCCTGAGTTCCTCCTAACTGCCCAGCTTACCACATGATGATACCCTTCTCATCTGAGACTCTAAACATGGTATAAGGTGTTTTATAGTTAATTACACAAAATGACTGCCGTGTGCACCTTGGGCAATGTCAATTTTAAATGTTTTTTTTCTTTCAGTTTCTTTCAGTAACTACCAGCCCTGCCAATTCACACTGAAGGTTGAGCTGTGTTCTCAATAACTTATACTTTTCCACTCAGTCAGGTCCTGTCCTGGGTTGCTCTGTGTGACCTCCTTGGGCACATCTACATGTTGCCCTGTGGCAACGTAGCAACATACTACATTGCTGTATGGCATGCTATGATGACATAGTGATCAGGTGGGTCCACGCATAACTGACAGCTGTGTCACCGTAGCGGAGCACTACAATATTGTGGCAAAATGGCACTATGGCAACATAGTGGCAAAATCTAACCATGTGCCTCATGCATGGCACAATAGGAGTGGTTACTGTGCTGTGCTTTAGTACTTCCAAAATTAAATGCTAAAGCACGGCACCATAGCAACATCGCTATATGGTGCCATGTAGATGCACCCCTTATTCTTCTTTGTGCTCCACAGTGTAAACAGAATGTAAGTTTCACAAATAAATGAGGCAGTGTTTCTGAAATTAGCTAGCACTCCTGTTGGTGCATCAGCCAGAACAGATTCTAATTCATCCTCTCTTAAGTCTGTTGGCCTTGCTACATTAATAGAAGAGGCGGGGGAAACTTGTCATTTCCTAAAGTCAAATGATGTGACACTGAGAGAAAACAGGCTACACACGAAACCTGTGCCATTTTTAGAATGATTTTTTTTATCACACAAAAGCTTTTTAAACCACTTAGCTGTTGAAGTCTTACATATATTCTTGTCTTTGATGGCTGAATGACAGAAAGCAAAAGAAGGGATGTTCTCATGAAAGGTCCTGTTTTATTTTGAACCTTCTTAAAACATATTACAGTCACTTTTTTCTCAATGACTGATTAAAACTTAAAAACCTATCTCTTTCTTGATTAACAAAACCCCCATAGATACAGAGCCACAGAGATCTACATATGTACTTTCAACTCTGAATTTCCTAGAGTGTCCTGGATTCTGCCCCATGGAGTTCATGTATGCTGGTTTTGGTTAAAATAAAGACAAGACTGACAGACTCCATGTCTGCCATGTGTCATCTCTGAAACATTTTCTTTGCACACTCAATGTCAGTGTACTAACCAATGGTAATTCTTTAAATTATGCCAAAGTCTTTCCTCAGGTTTAATCAAAGACTAGTTTTGTCTCAACTCCTACCCTTTGTATTTTAAAGGCCCTCGTGTACCTTAACAAATGTTGTGTCTAGCATTAGGAGTGATGGCACTGGGAGCAAAATTAACAAGAGAGACAATTCTGCCTTCACACTATTATGAAGCTAGTCAGGCCCTCTTTACTATGCAAGATTAAGGCTCTATCCCTACTGCTGAGTACTGCTTTAACAGATCAGGATATATTATTATGGTTGTAACTGTTGTTATTGCTATTATGTTACCACAACAAAAAAAGAGTTTGCCACTGCTTAAAAATTATGTTCATCTTGATGAAGTGTATGCAGCCTGCCAAGATACCCTTTTTTAAGACATTCTTCCCTGTTGACAACCAATGGAACAAATGCAGATAAACTTGCGGTAATAAAATTGAAAGGTGCATTCAGAGGGCTATTGTTTGAGATTTTTCTTCTACTTATTGTAATACCTGCCTCTTCACAGCGTTTTTCCTAATCAAAATAATACACATGCCGTTAGGGTTTAGACTGTGCAATCCTTGTTCACATTGGTAAGCCCTTATGTTTATCAACTTCTATAGGTTTACTTATGTTAGAAGCTGCTTATCAAAGTGATTGCACAATAGGGGTGTGCGAAGTGGGCCCTATTCAATTCGGATGCAGCCCAAATCAGGGACAGTGATTTGATTCATTGATTCGGATCACTGTCCCTGATTCAATTCGTCCAAATCTGAATCTGAAGATTCAATGCTGATTTGGAGAATCAATGATATGGACATAGAGACGGCTTTAAATGCTTTTTCTACATACCTTGAGGTAACAGTGTGGCTCATGAACGCTGCAATACTGAGGTGGATGGAGCATCCCACAGGGGTGCGGGGGGACCCTCCACATGCTCGACAGCGAACCCAGAAGTGGACTGGAAGTATTTCTGGTCCACTTCCAAGTCCACTGGGAGCACATGGGAGGACCCCCCACAACCCCTCGGCTTGGCGATTGGTTGCGGGAGGACCCTGAATGCCCCCCCAGACCCGGGAGGCACCAGTCACCAAGCTGGTGAGGTGCAGGAGGGTCCCCTGCATGCTCCCCGGTGGACCCGGAAGTGGACCAGAAGTGCTTCTGGCCCGCTTCTGGGTCTGCTGCCAAGTGCACTGGGAAGCCCCCCATGCTTCTATGGGATGCTTCGTGTGCCCCAGCATTGCAGTGTTCATGAGCCCCCTGCTACTTTGAGGTATGTAGAAAAAACATTTAAAGCTGTGTCTATGTCTGAATTGCCGAACCTTTTCTGAATCTCTCCGAAAAGATTTGGAGGGTTCCAATTTGATTCAATTTGGAGTCAGAGATTCAGCCACCTAATCAAGCCAAATCTCTGCCGAATCTTCGCACAGCCTTATTGCACAAGCTGTTCCTAGTTAAATCCCACACCACTGCCTCTCCTTTCTCTGTGAGGTAAAAACAAAGGTATAGCAGGGCAGTTGAGATGCACAGGGCAGTGGCATGGTCAGTTGTCAATGTAATGCCAATTATTTTTGTACCCCATTCCCCCCTTCCCATTATGCTACTGGGTAAAGAAACTGAGGCACACAAAGGGTTTGGGGGTTTGCTTATAATTGGACACTGACTCAATCATTGTCACGGTAGAAACATAATCACAGGACCTCACTGGATAATTAGATTGTGGCTGGTATGTGTTTCATTCAGTAATGGCCCTCTGCCATCTGTTTTTCTAGCTTGGGGGCTAGCTAGAAAACATGTCCATTTCATTAAAAATCTCAGTCTTTGATGTTTCCTTCTGTGCTGATGCAAAATGAAACTAAGACATTTTGGATTTATTCACAAGTGGCTAAAAGCCTAATAGTCAGGAACTTGTAAGGGACTGAGAAGTCCTACTCCAAAGCAGGGAGAGAAGGGTCTAGACCCTGAATGTGCCATATTTCACTGGAATGTTTTAATCACCTGGTAAAATCTCTTGCCTACCTTGAATTCAAACAGAAGTTCTGTCAGACCTCATACATTTCTACAGAAAGTTTTAGTTTCAAGAAATCAACATTTTCCAACAGGGAAAAAATTCATCAAGAAGTTCCTCAGGACTCCACCTGGCTATGCGCAAACAGTAAAACAGCTCTCTCCAGATGGCTTACATTTTAGAGTAAGGAAAACAAAGAACAAGTATAAAATCTTCATGCAAGAGAGAGCAAACTGACTGGGTATCTCAACAGTCCCCCATCTTGAATGCCCTCATTTGATTATCAGAGGCCAGTATACCTAGATGTGGAGGTCTAGTGCCCTGAAAACAAAAATCAATATTCCTGTACCATGGTGACAATTGTCCCTTCCTGCTGTCAAGTTTACCTATCCATCTATAGCAGGCAATACTTTCCAACTAAAGACACTTATTTAAAAAAGCAGTAAGAACCAGAGCAGTCAAATATTTGTGATAGAAAGCACAGAGCAGGCCACTTCACTACAAGATGACAGCAACTCTGAGTACAAAATGGTTGCCACAAAGATATTATTTAAAAAAACCCAAAAAAACAAAGGCAGCATCATTTCTGTAAGTGATTCATAGCTACCCACTACACTCTTGTCCCCACCTCCTTTTCCTTAGCTACCTGGCAGGAAGAAAATAAGAGGTATAAGATAAGAAATAGGAGGTATAAGATAAGAAATATATATATATTTTTTTATTTATTATTTGCTGAAGAATAAGGTGTATGTGGGTGGAGAGGGGGTTGGGGAGGTGGAATTTGGCTCCAAGCAATAAATTTAGACTTGCGTATCCTGGTCTTTTTTACCACAACTAATAGTTGAAGTGCTATTTTCCTTCCTTACTCATCCTCACACTCTAGCATTACATATACTTCTTGATTGCTTTAAGAAACAAGGACATAACCTGGCAGTCCCAACCCTTTTGCTAATGAACTCACCACTTCCCACTCTATGGTACATACGTTGGGCAATATGAGGAACACTACTTATGATCTGGGGGAGAAGAGCCCTGAATAGGCGCATGGACTCGACAAGGCTGAATGTAAGATCTGGAAGTCACTCACAGCTCCAGAGCTACTGAATGAGTGCCCATCATATATGTGCAGTCTGAAAACGTCCAGCTGTTTTTTCCTTTTACTGCGTATATAGCCTCCCGCCTCCTAACCTGCTTAAGTTTCTTTCATTGCATTTTCCCTTGAGGCTCTCATGTCACCATTTCTCAAGCCTTCTTTGGCTTCAAACTGAATTGCCCCAGGGACCCACCAACAGCCTGGATCCTACACCCTACAGCCACCAAATTGTAGCAGCTGCTAAACATACCACCTTTGCCTCAATTTTTTTCTGTCCTTCTTTAGTAAAACTGTAGACTTTGGATTTGCTTTTATATGCTCTCCTGCAATACACTAAGCTAGGATAGATGGAATCAAAGCTGGCAATTGCCAGTGGCACTAGGATGAAATAAAACAGGCAAGTCAAGCAAAAAAAGCACAGACATATCAAAATAATTTCTGAATCTTTTTGAAGGGGTCCTTTTCTATTTTATACATGTATTGCCTCAGGCAGGTCATTGGAACCTAAAGCTGGAATCAAAAGCTTGGCCCACATTGACTGTCAAAAGCAAACACTACATCATCCTTATCACTCAGTCCTGCCCTTTGTAAAGTGCATGCAGATAAAAAGGCATGAAGAACAAACACATTTAACTTTTCTTTAATGTAGCCATTTTACAGCCAAATAAGAGACTCTAATAACACTTTAGCCTTTATTCCAAATCTACGGCATAACATTAAACTGCTAATAAGTGGTTGAGCATAACATTTTATCTGTTTACATGATATCAAATAAAGCCCTAATACTTTACATGACTAATTTTATTGTCCAACACTTAAGTGAAAATCCAGAAAAAAATCCATTAATCCTAGCGGGATTACTCCTAATTTATACCTGAGCAACAAAGAGCAGAATTTGTCCCTACCTCTTCATTAATGTTTTTAACAGCAAAGTATCTACCTAAAAGACAGAAAAATCATCATTCCTCTGAGGTTTTATGAGCAATGTAGAAAACAAGGGACATGGAATTTTAAAAAATAAATCTAAGTATAGGAAATAATTCATTTAATTACAATGGTGTATAAAAAAAGGGTACAATTAAAGTTGTGGCTTTGATTTTTGTGTGGTTGTTGGAACATAGAATTACAATAGAATCCATGATATTTTTATCCTGTTCTCACCTATCCATCACATGGCTGTAGGCAAGTCACAAGCCATCTTGCACTGAAGTCAATAAAAAAAACTCCTCGATGACTTTAGTAGGGGTTAGATTGTGCCATTGCACTTTGCCTCACTTTGCTCATCGGTAAAATAAATAAATGCTATCTAGCTCCCAGGACAATTTGTGAAACTATTGGCCTGAACTTGCACCTATGGTAAAATACTCATTGGACACATCTACATAAGATGCTACTGTGCTGTGGTTACTGTGCACTTATTTAGTACTTATATTAGCAAGTACGTGTACTGGCAAGCACTAAATAAATATGCAGTAACCAAAGTTAGTGTGCAGTAGCTCTGGCGAACGTCTTTTAAGTGATGCTACTGCACAATAGCATAATAATACTTTGCAGTAGCATAATAGTACTGTCCATCCTGTGACATGCTACTCCTCAGTATTATTAGGCTACTGCACAGTCAGCATCTTGTGTAGACATGCCCATCAAGTATTATGAATTCAGTATCAGGCGATTAACATTTGTAGGGTGTTTTGAGACCTTTGGATGCATTGGGGCTCTAGAACTGCAAAGTGTCATTAAGTAGCAGAGGCGACCTGAATAGGGTGCGGGGTCTGGGGCAAATCAGCCCATGTGGGGCCCCACCCCCACTCTGATCCCGGACCCAAAGAAGCTGCTGCTGCCATCAGCAGCGACAGCTGTGGCAATGGGGAAAGGGTAGCGAGCGGCTGGACGCAGAGCCGCCACTGTGCCTAGCTCTGCACCGCCGCTGCTACACCTGGCTCCACAGGGCCCCCAAAAGCGTGGGGCCCAGAGCGGTCACTCCAATTTCCCCCCCCCCCCAGGGATGGCCCTGTTAACTAGTGAACCCTAATTTTGGTAACATATTATGCATGATATTAAGCAAATAGAGGGGATGTCCCTAGTGATCTAACAGAAACCATGGCTTTATTAGAGGCACTGGAAGTCCAAGGTCACACACTTCATATTTCATCATTTCAGGTGGGGATCAGGGAGAAACCATCTAGCTTTTATCACCAAAGAAGTGACCCAGCACAGGTATTAAAATGGATAAAAATTGGACTTGTTTATCCAAAATCTTCTGAACTTAGATAATGGGAAACTCAGATCACTACTTTAGTTTTTCTGAACAAAATCCAGGACATTTTGTGAAAGCTAACTCTCTTGCTTTGTTCTTTCCAAAGCCATCAGGAGTAGGGGAGGAGTGAGAGGCTGGTAGTAATTAGAACTAAATGAATGCTTCAACAAATTTCTATGAATATTCACTCAAATGAAAAGTGTAATTTGCTTCAGCTTTGTTTGTGCCACTTGTGGGTACATTTTCAATGCCTATATGAGCAAATAAACCTACGTTCAGTATTGTTCATAGAAATAAGCAAATTTCAAATTTACATAAAAGAATAGCCCTTGAAAATGAGTTTTGAACATATGCATGAGTGTTCTTCATTTCACGCATTGTGTTTATCTAGTGAAAGGAGAGGCATGTGCAGCTCCCGTACTCGTGTGCCACTGAGAGAAGCCCCACACACTGGAGCCAGTAGCATTTACCACTCCTTGCCACGCAGGTCCTGGGACTCTCTGGGGAAGCAGGGGCCAGGGCTCCCTTCCACTTCAAGTGGAGTCCCAGGACCTGTGCAGCAGGAGTGGGGAAGGCAGCCAGCTCCAGTGCGCGGGGCTTCCTCCAGTAGTGTGCGAGTACGGGAGCTGCATGCGCACCATAGGGAGCTCAGCATGAGGGGTGGACTGGCCAGGCTGCACTCCTTACCCCCATGTGCAGTGCTGGCCAGAGCTGCATGCCACCAGCAGCAGCACCTGCACAGGGCACGAGCACCCTGACCACCCCATCTGCTGTGTGCAATGGGGGGCGTGTGTGAGCAGCCCCTACAGCCCCCCACCCTCCCTCACACCCCAAAAACCCCACACACCCACAGCCAGCCACCACAACCCCCCATATATACACCCCCCATATATCCTATTGCTCCCCACGCAAAGTCACACCCCCTTACAAGCTCCCCCATACACACACCTCACCATACACACACCCCAACCAGGCACCCCCACACACAACATACAAGAATAAGACTTTATTTTTTCTTTATTATGCGACCACTTATATATACACTATGCAAACACAAATCATGACAAAAATATTTTTGTAATAAAATTAAAGTATTTTAGAGTGGGTGTTTGACTTTTAGTATATGATATGTTTTCTTCTGGTTCCAAGACAGCAACCCTCTTCTCCCAAAGGGAGTATTCCTGGAGGCAAGGAGAGGAACTTCCGCTGGCAAGAATCAGGGTTTAGGGGTGGGACTTCCAGTCCCAAAAGGGCAACCAGGAGGCAGTGCACATGTCAAGGGCTGAGGCTACCCTTGCGGCCCTCTACAGCTCACCAAAACTCATTAAGCGGCCCTCCAGCTGAAATAATTGCCCGCCCCACGGTCTATGTGATCTCTCATTTGCCTGTCCTCAATGACTATGCATGTATCACACTGAAATATGTTCAATGGGAGGGATAAGGAAGGCACTCCCATCCTTACCCCTACAGCCTGGAAGTTAGGAAAATGGAAGTTTGAACACCCTTAGT